CTGTTTCTATGGTGATTCTCCTCATAGGGAGTTAATCAGCGTGGCAGGCCCTCTTTTATTTTATACATTCGTATCCATCAGTGGCTGCTAGTAGAATGCATGTGCCAGACACTGAGAATTTGTTAGATTTGACTTTACTTTTGTTACAAACAAAAGAGAAGATAAAGATAAGACATCTACTTTCCTTATGAATAGCGATGTACACATGTATCCATTCACACCATCAAACCCATCAAACCCAATCCCAAGGCAGGCACTGATGGCTCACACCTGGAAACCTCACTACTCGAGAGGCTGAGATCTGAGGACTGGGTTTCAAAATCAGCCTGGGCGGAAAAGTCTGTAAGACTCTTATCTCCAATGAACTGGCTAAAAGTTGCAAGTGGAGGTGTGGCTTCACTGGTAGAACACCAGCCTTGAGCAAAAAAGCCCAATCAGAGCACAAGGTTCTGATTTCAAGAAAACCAGTCATTGGGCTGGGAAGGTGGCTCAATGGTAGAGTGCTTGCCTTGCATGCATGAGGCCCTGGGTTCAATTCCTCAGCACCACATAAGCAGAAAAAGCTGGAAGTGGTGCTGTGGCTCAAGTGGTAGAGCACTAGCCTTGAGCTGAAGAGCTGAGAGACAGCACCTAGGCCCAGAGTTCAGGACCCACAACTGACTGACAAGAAAAAAAAAAAAAAAAACAAAGAAAACCAGTCACATCCACAGCAGTCTGAGGCAGGATTTATGGGGAAGTACTAAAAATGGGCAAAGACATTAAAAATGATACAGTGCACTCTGTAAGACAGATACAAACAGCTGAAAGGCTTTTTCTGTGAGAAGAGGACTTGTTTTCTAACATGGTGTGAGATTTAACTGGCCTCATGATATCATCATTACAAACCACGATAAGCATCCTATTAAAGATGCCATGCTCTGCTGGGAATCAGGGGTTTGTGTGAGTGTGTGTGTGTGTGTGTGTGTGTGTGTGTGTAAGAGAGAGAGACAGACAGAGACAGAGACACAGAGACAGAGACAGAGACAGAGAGAAAGAGAGAAGCAGGTGCTATGATTATTCGGATGTAATTTGTTTTTCCTAAAACCCAAAACAAATCAGAAATCAGGAATCTTGCCTGCCACTGGTTGCTCACACCTATAATCCTTGCTACTCAGGAGGCTGAGATTTGAGGATGGAGGTTTGAAACCAGCCTGGAGAGGAAAAATCCATGAAAGTCTTATCTCCAATGAACAATAAAAAAGCCAGAAGTGGAGCTGTGGTTCAGAAGCTTGGGGACAGCGCCCAGGTCCTGAATTTAAGCCCTAGGACTATCTCTCTCTCTCTCTCTCTCTCTTTCAGAAATGATTTTCACTTGCTCTTCTCCTTCCATGTAAAACACAAGGAGTCCTACTTTTCTGTCAGCCCCTTTCTGGGAGAAAATATAGAGATGGAGTAATCAAATATAGAGATAAACATATATAAGATACAGAGGTGCTCTTGCTTTGGTAAATACACATCTGAAGTAAGATAAAGACGGCTTTTGAATCCTGCCCTCCCCTGGCATTGCTCCTGCTATGGGTCTCCTGGGGCTGGGTGGGAGGCTGCTTCTGGTCTCACAATCATACACGTTGGGGGTAGGGCTCGTGTCCAGGGTGACTTGGTGTCACCGGTGTCACTGGGGGTCATGGTGCATCTCCTGCTGGGTGGCCTGGGCTGGTTTGGGGAACAGGCCCTGAGGAACTGCTGTGTCCTGTTCCTCTTTCCTGCACCCAGAGTGGCTCCCTGACCTGGCTGAGTTGGTTCAGTGGAAAGTTTTCTTTTCATGTTGACTACTGCCTTGCAGACTGCTTCCCCACACCCATAGGTGTTTTTTAAACAATCCTTTCTAAGGCATTTTACTGGAACTCCATAAGGGTTCGACTTGTATCTCTTCTTATTCCTTTTCGGCATCAACTAGTAGGTGAGGCAGGCTGAGGCAAATGTACAGTTTGGACCTGGGAGAATATAATTGAAACCTGACACAGCCTGATTAGCCTCTTTTGAACTGACACTTTCACTCATGGGCTAGCACTGTAGCCATCCAGTCATGCTTCTCATCCCTACCCATTTCCCTTGTATGTTTGAGCACATAAAATCCACGTGTCCAGAAAGGTTTGTGACTTGAATTGAGATGAAATATCAAGGAATTAACATGAACAGGGTAAGGCACACAATGGGGGGAAAATTCAAAACCCCCAACCTAAACAAAATCAAAGGCAAATCTGACAGTACACCATCTGCTTTGGCTTTCCTTTTTTCTTTCTTTATTTTTTTTGGGTCTGGTCATGGGGCCTGAACTCTTGGCCTGGGCACTGTCCCTCAGCTCTTCAGCTCAAGGCTAGCGCTCTACCACTTGAGCCACAGCACCACTTCCGGCTTTTTTTTTCTTTTTGCTTATGTGGTGCTGAGGAATTGAATCCAGGGCCTCATGCATGCAAGGCAAGCACTCTACCACTGGGCCACCTTCCCAGCCCTGCTTTGGTTTTTTTTTTTTTTACTACTTTGTATTGTTTCTCTATATACCTAACTGGAAATTGATCTCAGCCAGATGCTGGTGGCTCACACCTGTAATTGTAGATACTCAGGAGGCTGAGACCTGAGCATCAGGGCTCATAGCCATCCCGGCCAGTCCCTGAGATTCTTATTTCCAAGCTTGACAAATACCAGGAGGAAGAGGAGCAAAGAGGCCAGGGAGCCCCGCCCCAGAATTGTGCTTCAGACAGCTTCCTACTGACTTTGAGTTTCACTGTCTTGGTTGGTCAGGAATAATCCTCCAGCTCTGGCACAATTTTGAGTTCGTGGGATTTCAAAACAAGTCCCAACTTGATCAAAGAGCATACAGGTTTTAAGGACCTTCGAAAAGAGCTCAGTGAGAGACAGCAGGGGCCTGAGCTCAGCCCCAGCCCAGGGGATGCCAGAGGCGGCCTGCTGTTTTGCTGTAGTGTAAATGAAAACACACTTTTCCCAAGGAAGCAGTTTGCCAATTTAAATTGCATTTAAAACTGAAAAGCATAGAAAAATCATTTATGTTTTATTATTTATTGTTATTATTATTATTACTTTTTTGGGGGGGTCCAGTCGTGGGGCTTGAACTCTGGGCCTGGGCTCTGTCCCTCAGTTCTTCAGCTCAAGGCTAGCGCTCTACCACTTGAGCCACAGAGCCACTTCCAGCTTTTTTCTTTTTGCTTATGTGGTGCTAAGGAATCGAACCCAGGGCCTCAGGCATGCAAGGCAAGCGCTCTACCACTGAGCCACCTTCCCAGCCCCATATTATTATTACTATTTTGTACTGGTGCTATGGTTTGAACTCAGGGCCTGGGCCCTATCCTTTAGATTTTTGTGCTCAAGGCTGGTGCTCTACCACTTGAGCCACAGCTCCCCATCTGCCTTTGGGCTGGTGAATTGGAGATAAGAGTCTCACAGATATTTTTGCCTGGGCTAGCTTCAAAGGGAGATCCTCAGATCTCAGCCTTTTGGATAGCAAGGATTTAAAGGTGTGAGCCACACGCACCCAGCTCTGTGTTCTGTGTGTGTGTGTGTGTGTGTGTGTGTGTGTGTGTGTGTGTGTGTGCGCGCTCTCCATCTTATTTTACTTTTCCCACAATGCACTATGACCTTTAAGGTACCCAGTCACATACCAGCTCTTATGTTTCATAACGAAAACAAGTTTTCCTTTCCTGCTCTCCTTGCTTTTCTTTAACATAAATAAATTAAGCTCCAGTAAAGCCATCATTTAAGCATGGGCCAATTTGCCCCTTCGGGAATAAATAATGCTGGCCTAGTTCTGACACATGAGTTTCTATCCAATCTGTAACAAAGTCTGTTTTAATCCAATGTTCAGAACTTCCACCTTCAGCCGGCATTTCTGAAATGCTTTTCAAAGGAATTTCAATCATTGCTAAATAATTTAAAAGGTTTAAATTTTGTTTAGAAAGTACAGAGTTGATGAATCAACTTTGTAAACTATTTCAAAGTAGAATAATAAATAATTTGGGTGAAAAACAAATTGCCCCATGGTGAATTATCTGCGAAAGTACAGAAGGCATTGCGTCGCTGCACAGGGAATTGTCACCACTGTCACGCATGCATTTCAAAGGAGGTAAAATATTAATCACATTTGAATCACAGGTTCATACACCTGAGAGGTGTTCAGGCACAGATGGAAGGGTCACAGATTCTGTTCTTAGAAACCCTGGTGAGCTGCTGCCTAATAATGCGGATGTCCGGATAAGGGGACATGACCTCGGACAACTTTGGGGTTTGTGTGCTGGTTCTGGGACTTGAACTCAGGGCCAGGAAACTCTCCTTTGGCTTTTTCACTCAAGGCTGGTGCTCAACCACATGAACTACAACTTCACTTTTGGCTTTTTGCTGGTTCATTGGAGATGAGTCTCATGAATGTCTTTGCCCCTGATGGCTTTAAACCATGACCCTCACATGTCATGCCCCTGGGTCACTAGGATGACAGATGTGAGATTTGGCGACTCATCAGCTATACAAACACTTTTAATAGCACCTTTAAATTCAATGTAGTGTACACCAAGGTAATAGATGATATAGAAAGAGGAACAGAGATTTTCCCAATTGACAAATGGATCTCAGCTCTGCAATGTCTTTCCCAAGTCAGTAAGTATTGAACACAATTTATATTTATTTAGTGGTTTAGGCTGTAAGGGCTTGCTCTGACACATCTTGAGTATTTCAAGTCCTTATGTCGGGTGGAACCTCATCATCGGTTCAGAGTTTGTTTGTAAATTGTGTCCTACTGAAAGACGCATACATGAAAGACACTTCTAAAACACTCCACAGCACTGAGATTGCTGTTGGCTAATGTTCCATGCACAAGGCTGAAAAGCTCTGCTACAACATTTGAATAAATAATGCATCGACTTAATAGGTTACCATTTTAGAAGGAAACATGAAAAGCAAGAGGTCAAACATTTACTATGTCCTCCAGAGAATAGCTGCAGTTAAAGCTTTTGTGGAGTGAAGCAGATGGCAAAAGTTTTGTTATGTTCAAAGAAAACATAACAGGATGAACTTTGACGCTGCTAGGAGTGGGAGAGAAAGAAAAGAAAAGGTAATTCTGTATCGCAAAATGTATTTGATAGTATTTTATTACTACTAAAGTAGCTAAGAACCTAGCACTTAGAATTCACTGATCATGGTAACAGTGATATTTTAAACTATTAAGTATAACATCAAGAAATTTAAGTAGAGAAGAACAGAAACTAGATGGTCATTTTTTCAGCTAGTAAAACATCATGGCAGAGATGTTAGAATAAGAATTTATAAATAAACAATAAGCTCTTTGTTTACTATCAGTACTTACTGACATCCATTGTGTAAAAATTTTAAAATGGTATACATTTGTAAGTTGTATCAATTCATGATAAATTATATCAACATTTAAAAATTACACCAAATGAAAATTACAGACATGAAATCATAGCTCTCATCAGATTCTTACCTAGTGACCCAAAAGGCAACGTACGTTTGTCAAACTTTAAGTCATATTATTGACATCAACAAATCCTATTTGATATATTTATGCCTCATAAAAATAGCCAGAAATCTGTCACATACAAGAAGAATGGAAAACTGTTACCCAAGGCTTTTATTAACGCTCATGAATATTTCGTGTTTTTCAATAACTCACAGATAGTTTATTGTGGTATTAGTATAGTATGCAAGGTTATTGGTTTTTGTTATTATTTTAGAATTATTAATATTGGAAATAGCTACCCTCACTACAGGAATTGTGAGAGCCCTTTATTTTCCGTCTACGTGTCTGGATCCATGTAACTGGTGTGTTGGAATGTCTCGTGCAATGTCATGTCTTGTCTCTGTCCCTGTGGAGATTACTCCTGGGCACTTGTGGAGGTGTGGCCGTCCCAGGATTCCTTTGAAGTCATTTGTGCTCCAGCAACGCACCTCCAGTCTAAGAAAGTGATGAGTGGCTACAGCTTCCCCTACAGAGAGAAGCCTGCAGCCACCTCCGCCCGCCCAGCCCACCTGACAACGCTGTTTTCAGGCAGATTTGCTTTCTGTTCTTTTCCTCTTCTGTCCATCCTTGCTCAGGCTGGCTGCCAGCCATTCTAACCTTCCAGCTTGGCCTGTAGAGAAAACCAAGATGGAGGTGGAGAAGAGGGGGAAGTGCACAGAAAATCAGAGCTGTCAGAGCTGGCAAGTGACAGAGAGACTTACGAATGCTATTTCCAGAATGGCAGGAGCTACAGATGACACCCAGAGGCTGAGCTGTGCTGCTGTCATGGGAGGGAGGGAAATGATTTTTAGTGTATGAGTATGTTCCAGACATAGCAAGGAGTAGGCTATGTACTCTAGTATTTCTACTATTCTAGTATTTCTACACTAGACCCACTTGAAATAGGAGTTAGACTAGTTTCTGGTGTTTGGGTTGTTGATTCTGCCAGTGCTGTGACACCTCTGGTCTGTCTTCAGGAGCGTGTCCAGTGCCTCCTCTAGGCCTTGCAGCAACCTCTGCCTTTGGCGCATCCCTTTGATGGGCTCTGGATTTGTTCTCTAATGGAAAGTACAGGCGTTTCTGGTGCTCTGGGGTAGTAGAAAAGCAGTTGGGGAATTTTGGCTTCTACTGATTGCAGGATAAGTGGAAAAACCCAAATCTGCCTGCCAAGCGGCGAAAGCCCAGGGCTACGAAGTACTGAAGAAGTAAGAGAGATGAAAGAACGAGGAAATAAGGATCAGATAGTAAACCTCACAGGAAAACCAGAAAACCGTCTTCCAGGCCTTCAGCTCTTACGATGCAACCCAAGGACCAAGATGGCTGGTGGGGCTGCGGGCTGTCTCCCAGGGCTGTGGGCGCCATGTCCTCCTTCCCTGCCAGATTCTCTTTGAGCACACTTCCCCCGCACCATGTCTGCTGTGTCAGCTGGGAGTTGAGGGATTGAGCAGTTCCTTTTCTGATGTCTTGGTTACCTATTTCAGTGCCATCACCCTTCAAAAGGGTGAATGGGCCCGACTTACTCTTATTGTGGCAGCATTGTACACATCAACTTAAATATATATGGAAGGGTTGTATATGCGTGTGTGTGTGTGTGTGTGTGTGTGTGTGTGTGTGTGTGTGCATGAGCATATGTGCTGGCACTGGGGCTTGAACTCAGGCCTTGAAGTATGCTCTCACTTGGCTTTCTTTTTGGGTTTTTTCCTCAAGGCAGGTGCTCTACTACTTGAGCCATACCTCCACTTCTGGATTTTTGTTGGTTCATTGGAGATGAGAGTTTCAGGGACTTTTCTGCCTGGATTGGTTTCAAACCAGTCTCAGATTTCTGAATGGTTAGGATTACAGGTGAGGGCCACTAGTGCCTGATTAATGAAGAATTTTTTTAGGTTTTCTCTTAAAGAGAGAGAGAGAGAAAGAGAGAGAGAGAGAGAGGGAGGAGCAGTCTGAATTAAACTTTTTTTGAAACCAAAAGGCAGAAGAATTTTTATAGTTGGAGTGTGGGTGTGGCTCTGTGATACAGTAATTGTCTGGCAAGCTAGAGACCCTAGGTTCCAACCCCAGCTTTATATAAATTAAATAAACAAATAAATGAGTGGATGAATGAATGAATGCTAAAAGGCTTTGGCATTCTTAGAGTTCAAAGGGGAGCACAGGGCATCGGTGATGGCTCACAGACGTTAAGTAAATCAAACATTCTCCAGTGTTTGGAGCGAATGAAGTCCAGGAGCTCTTCAATTTAGGCTCCAGCCCTCCTACAGAGGCCACGGCGCCTGTACTTCTTTAAGAATTGAATTTTAAAAGGAAAACTGTCAGGGCCAGGAGAAACACAGTTCTAGGTTGTGAGATTGTCAAGAACTTTTATAAAAAGATTCACAAATAAAAAAAGAGCAGTAAAAGTATAATCGAAAGATTTTTAAAGTCAGTTCTTTCTCTCATTTTCTTTCTTTCTCTTTCTCTTTTATCTCCCTTCCTTCCTTCCTTCCTTCCTTCCTTCCTTCCTTCCTTCCTTCCTTCCTTCCTTCCTTCCTTCCTTCCTTCCTTCCTTCTTCATGCCTGTATTTGTTTTTTCCCTGTCCCAGGCTTGAACTCAGGACTTGTGCTTGCTCAATTGGCTCTTTACCACCTCAACCACACCTCCAGCCCTGCTTTTTGCTGATTATTTCAAAGATGGAGTGTTGCAAAGTATCCGGCCTTGGCCAGCTTCAAACTGTGATTGTCTAGACATCATTAGCTGATTAGTATGAGCTAGTGGCGCTTGGGCCAGACACTGTTATTAACCACTCCACACATGAAGCTGGACTCTAGGTCATCTCATCTGTGCCATTTTGAAGTCTGCCAGTCCTCAGGGTTCTCACCTAACACCTGCTCTTCCTAACTTGGAAACTCAGCAGCAGTGCCCAGTTGCCTCTTCTCCAACTAGGGGCTGTGTCTGACACTTCTTCATGAGATCAAATCCTGCCTCTTTCTTTCTATACTTTGCCCTTATTTATGTTCTCACTGTGCTTCTGCTTCCTAGTGACACTGGCTTCTTCTCCCCAGCTTCCTTCCTACAGTGTCTACCACTGGCCTCACCCTCCCCATGGATTCCACAGACTGTTGGAGGTTGCAGGATAATCATGATGTCAACAAGCCCTGCTGGGTCTGTTTTCAATGCTTTGGCAGTTGTGATCCCACCAGTGAGAGGGCGAGAGGATGAGCCAAGCCTCCTCCTGACCAACTCCTGCTCAGGCTGTTTCTCCTCAAGTGCCCTTCTCCAAATCCTAACTACCAAAATGCTCTATCTATTCGTCTGTCTGTCTGTCTGTCTGCCTGCTGTGTCTCTATCATTTATTTCATGCCAGTACTGGGGCTTGAACTCAGGCCCTTGTGCTCTCCCTTGGCTTTTTCTAATGTAAGTAACTCTACCACTTGAGCCCCACAGTTCCACTTCTGGATTTTAGCTGGTTAATTGGAGATGAGAGTCTCATCCATTTTTCTGCTTTTGAACCACAGCGCTCAGATCTGAGCCTCCTGAACAGCTGGGATTACAGGCGTGAGCTGCTGGCACCCACTAGAAGATGTTTTGACAATTAAAATGTGATGAGGAAAAACTATAGAAATGAGATGGTAATATTTTGGGTTTTTTTTTTGGTGGTTAAACGTCGTCTCCTCACCTATAAATCCACTACAAAATATTGGGAAGAGGATATTCACATATAATATGGGTTTAATATGAATTAAATGATTGGCATTCAGAGCCAGGTTATAATTATTCGGGAAGTAGTCGGTTCACCGAGGGCAATCTGAGCATAATTTAATTTGCACTCCTCTTTGCTAGAACGTGCCTCTTGTGTAATTCAGGGGCCTGCACGCTCCTTGAGCCTTTCCTCAGAGCTCACAGATTTTCTAAGAACCAGAAGGGGACACAACAATTATAAACTATAAACACTTGTTATTGAACTGCTTTCCAGCTATATTAATTTTCATTATCTTCATGTTTAGGGGTTGTGTTGAGAAACAGAACTGCTCTGAAAATGGAAAAGGAAACTAATTAGTGTTGGGCAGAGTGCTTTCCTGTGCCTGGAAAAGGCTCTTCGGCAGTACCATTTGAGCAGCTCCATCATAAGTTAAGAAAAATGTTACAACATGGTCTTCGTTGGAAATACGTAGTTAATATCCTACAAAACATTTATTACTATTTATATAATAATATAAAGTAAGATAAATTATATATAATATAAATTATACTAATAAAAATTATACATTATATAAAATTATATAAATTAAAATCATCTATAATATAAATTGTATTTATATCAACAAATTTAATCATAGGATTTATAATTAAATTAATTATAATCAATGTGATCCTATATTTTTATATATTACAAAGGTATAACATTAGTATGCTATATATTGTAATATCAATTATAATACGTAATGTACATAGTATATACTATCTATAACATGTTATAATTAATACCCATGTTAACTATAATATAATATGGATGTTATGTTTGTAATATAATATGTTGATTATATACTGTATTAATGTTATATAATATTTATACTTATGAATATTAGCCTTTATATTTATTATGTAAATACAAATTGTGACTTCTGGTTTCAAAATAAATATGTCCAATATACTCTGTGAATTTTAATTTCTCTAAAAAATTAGTCTACTGAATACTAGTAGCTAAAACACATGAGATACATGTAATCTGGCTCGTAAGCATATTCAGTCCATTAACCAGAGTAAAAACCTTTTTGATTTTGAGATTTTATTTATGAACTGGAGTTGTGAGACTTTTCAGGCCACTGTGAAGTCACAGCAGGGAGCCAGCAGCCCTGTGCTGGAGAGTGTCAGTGAGTGGTGTGAAGCCCTCTGTTGGTGAGTGTCAGTGAGTGGTGTGAAGCCTGTATTGGTGAGCGTCAGTGAGTGGTGTGAAGCCCTGTGTTGGTGAGTGTCCATGACTGATGTGAAGCCTGTGCTGGTGAGTGTCAGTGAGCCATGTGAAGCCCTATGTTAATGAGCATCATGAGTGGTGCGAAGCCCTGTGTTGGTGAGTGTCCGTGAGTGGTGTGAAGCTTGTGTTGGTGAGTGTCAGTGAGTGGTGTGAAGCCTGTGTTGGTGAACATGCAGGAGTGGTGTGAAGCTCTGTGTTGATGGGCATCCATGAGTGGTGTGAAGCCCTGTGCTGGTGAGTGTCAGTGAGTGGTGTGAAGCCCTGTGCTGGTGAGTGTCAGTGAGTGGTGTGAAGCCTGTGCTGGTGAGTGTCAGTGAGTGGTGTGAAGCCTGTGCTGGTGAGTGTCAGTGAGTGGTGTGAAGCCTGTGTTGGTGAGCATCCATGAGTGGTGTGAAGCCCTGTGCTGGTGAGTGTCAGTGAGTAGTGCGAAGCCTTGTGCTGGTGAGTGTCAGTGAGTGGTGTGAAGCCTTATGTTAATGAGCATTATAAGTGGTGTGAAGCCTGTGCTGGTAAGAGTCAGTGAGTAGTGTGAAGCCTGTGCTGGTGAGTGTCAGTGAGTGGTGTGAATCCCTGTGCTGGTAAGTGTTAGTGAGTGGGGTGTGAAGCCCTGTGTTGGTGAACATGCATGAGTGGTGTGAAACCTGTGTTGGTGGGCATCCATGAGTGATGTGAAGCCCTGTGCTGGTGAGTGTTAGTGAGTGGTGTTAAGCCTATGTTGGTGAGCCTCCATGAGTGGTGTGGAGCTCCTCTGTGTGACCACATCTATGATAGAGTTTCATTTGCTCATGTAGCATGGTCTACAGAACAAATCAGATCCAGGCCACTCAAGCGCAATGGCTCATTGAGCCTTTATCCAGGAGACGATCACGTAGTACTTTGTATAAAGAGAACACAGAAGAGATTCATAGCTATTTTTCTGAGCAAGTGTAACTGGGCAGCACAAATGTTCATCACGAGGAGAACTCGAGCCCTTTCCTCTACTGGCTTTGCTATATCTCATATCAAGGTCTCTAGGGCCTAAACTCAGAACTGGACATACAAAAGTCCTAACAAACCCACCAGTGCAACTGTTCATGTACTGACCCAGCACAAAGCTGTTCTGTTTCTTGGGACTAGGAGAAACGTAGTAGTGAGCCAGGTTCTTATGGCTCATGCCTGTAATCCCAACTACTTAGGAAGTTGAGGTATGAGGATCAAGATTAGAAGCCAGCCTGGAAAGAAATGAAACTTTTATCTGTAACTAACCAGCTAAAAGCAGGAAGTAGAGGTGTGGTTCAAGTGGTAGACTGCCAGCATTGAATGAAAAAGCTAAGCATAAGTGTGAGGATGTTAGTTCAAGTCCCAGTACCTGATCAAACAGAAAAAAAAAGAAACATAGTAGAGTGTTTGCTATTCCTCTTTTACATTGGAAATGGTAGTAGTAGATCTGTTTCTTTCAATATAAATTTTAAATGAATCTCTTTTTTTTTTTTTTACATTTTTATTTATTTATTTATTTTTTTAAATTTAATTTAATTTTATTTGTGAACATACTGTACAGAGGAGTTAGTTACATGGGCAGGATAATGCGTACATTTCTTACCAAGCATTGCAGCCTCCTCCTTTGTTTACCCTTCAGTAAATGAATCTCTTTTATGTTGAGTCTTTACTAGGAAAGAATAACTTATAAATTCCATTGTTAAGTTAATAAAAAGAGGTGAATGATGCAATGCAGTAATTCCTAAGTATGTTTGGTTAACAATATGAGCTTGCTTTACTGCATTCCTAAATATACTAAACTCTGATTAAATCCCAGTTTATGAATTCATATATTTTTCTAGAGTATTCATCATTAAAAATAATAAATCTAACAGATATAAGATAATGTCCAAAGATGCATAAATATTATTTTAGCCAGGTGCCTGTGGCTCACACCCATCATCCTAACTACTCAGGAGTTGAGGTCTGAGGATCACAGCTCAAAGCCAGCCCAGGTAGACATATATGAAGGATTCTCATCTCCAATTATCAGCAAAAACCTGGAAATGGAGGTGTGGCTACACTGGTAGAGTGCCAGACTTGAGTGGAAAAAGATTAGAGAGATCATGAATCCCTGAATTCAAGCCATAATACTGGCAACACACATACACACACATATATGTACATATACTGTATATGTATACATGCATTGCAAGCACATATATGCATACACTCATATGCATGTATATACACAGATATACATATTCACACATATAGTTAAGTCTATATCATAGTAAAGTACATGTCATTATAATAAATTTCTAATTTTAATAATTATAATTAATGATCTATAATTCTTTGTTATAAAGATTTACATGTGATATAAATGCTGTATATAAAAATGATATAATGAATGATGTTCTCTTGGCTAATTGCTTGATGAAATTTGTTACCTGGTCTCTTGCTACTGATAAACCCGTAGCTGCATATGCTAAATCTACTTATCTCCCCGCACCAGGCAAAACACCACAAGATCTGCACACAGGAGCCATTTGTCTTTTAAGTAGTTAACTTCATTTCTTCACTTGAAAATGGAAGAGAGTGGCTCTACCCCCTATCCAAAGCACTGCAGAAGAAAACGTCTAGCACCTTTCCTTACTTCTTACAACCACAGCCAGGCCAGGAATACTCCTTTCCATCCCTGCCTGCTCTGTCAAAGAATTGTTGACAATCATGAACTGACATTTGACCTGAAGTCTCAATGTGATAACCTCAGCCTCCTTTCTTTTTCAAAAGATAACAAAGTCATACATTTCTTAGCCCACCAACAAGGACATCCATGTAGTAAAAATAACCCCAGGACAATATCAGTAGTGCTCACCTTGAACTTGACATAATAGCTACTGATCTTTCTGTAGTCTATTCCTGTACCTTCTTCTCTGTTTAGAGACTGCCTTTGAGTGATCTCCATGATCATCTTTGTAGTTTCTGCCATCTCTCCCTTTTTATTTTTAGCACAGACAGTTCTTGACTTTGTATTTCCCACAATTTTCTGGGTAGATCCCCTGGGAAGGAAAATAGTCATCGAAATCCAACATATTCAGACCAACTTGTTTTGTTCTCTGTGAAACATTATTACCTTGCTCTTCCTCTTCGTTGATGTTTGCAAAAACATATTGTCCTGCAACAGCTTTTATTCATTTGTACCATACTATGTCCCTATACTGTATGACAGCTATGGTGCTTTGCTTAAATGTGGGCAGGGCTTAATTTGTGTGTGTGTGTGTGTGTGTGTGTGTGTGTGTATGCACGTGTGCATGCGTACATACATGTGAGCGCCGGTACTGGGGCTTGAAATCAGGACCTCACTTGGTTCTTTTTCCCCAAGGCTGGAGCTCAACCATTTGGGCCATGCTTCTACTTCTGACTTTCTTGCTTCAAAGTGTGATTCAGGCTCTCGGCCTCCTGAGTACTTAGGATTAATTAGCTCACAGGCAGAATTAGCTCATAGGTAGAAGCCAATGACATGCAGAATGGCTTCATGTTTCATGTCCACTCCAAACAGCACATTTTTAGACCAAACTCAGTAAATGTTTAAGGAACAAATGAATATATCTATAATGTTTTGTAATTAACAAATTTATATCAAGTTTTTCAAGAAACAATTTTGGTATAGTTCTATGTTTGTTCTTTGCTTAGAATATTGCTGATTCCTAAAACAAGATCAAATCTACACAGACACTTAAAATATGTTTGCATTTCTTTCTTATACCAGCATTGGATATATGAATAGTTGTGTTATTCTGGAGGACAAAGTATAGCATAAAGTCATTGGTAATCATAAAAAATAGAGGATAGGTAAGGTAATTAATACTTCTTTTGTGAGCATTTCTTTTTTCTTTTTGTGCTAGTCCTGGGGCTTGAACTCAGGGCCTGGGAGCTGTCCCTGAGCTTTTGTGTTCAAGGCTAGCACTCTACCACTTGAGCTACAGCTCCATTTCTAGTTTTGGGTGGTTAATTGGAGGTAAGAGTCTCATGGGCTGGCTTCTAATGGCAATCCTCAGATTTCAGCTTTCTGAGTAGCTGAGATTACAGGAGCGAACTGTTGCTTACCCTCTCTTATCCTTAGCTGTGGTCCCCTTCTATGTCCCTAATAACCCCCTTCCCACTTCCATGCTTTTCCCTATGCTTTTTTTGTGGGAGGCATTAAGACACCCATGTTGAGCTGTTGGTGAGTCAGCAGCGAGGGTTCAAGCTTCCCACCTGGGCGCTATGCCATAGAGAGATTGATTATCGGGTCCATTGTGACTGTCTGATGACTGTCTGAGTCCATCTGGCTGTCTCCCCAGTTTGCGGAAGTAATTGTTGTTTGTTTTTTAACGTTATTTCTTTAATACAGGTGATAAGAATTATTGTATCATCCTTCTAAACTTCTTACATGCAAGACTGGAAACCTGAAGTTGCTCCCTGTCTGTCTGTCTGTCTGTCTGTCTGTCTGTCTCTCTATCTCTGTGTCTCAGTGTTTGTCTGTCTATATGTCTCTCTTC